TGCCTTCTCACGACTGTTTCAAAGCTCGTAAATCGGAGTTCTCGCCGGTCGTGTTCGACAAAGGCTCGAACATATCGCGGCGAGATTTCGACGTCAACATTTTCCCACGACATTCTGGAAACGAGGCTCCTTTGTATTCGCACCTGTATTCCTTCATCTTCGCGTTCGCGGAAAGCGAAGACCAGAATCGACGAGTCGCGTGTCTCACTGCTCCTTATCGGTAATTAAAGATCGCGTCGGTCGGATTTCCGTTCCAATAACACGGGATGCTTCGAGTCAATCAAACAATAAGGGCATCAGGCGGACAGGTGGGGGCCGTATATACCGATTACAGTGCTGCAATATCGCGCGATAAAGCGGCAGACAAAATAGACGGTAATATCTGCTTCGGCATCCCTGAGCCAATGACAGTCCCGAGCGATCTCGCCCGGCCGGACTATGCCATAATTCCGCCCCGCGGGAATATATGCACGCGCGTATACCGATCGGTGCCATTGATCGGGCTCCGACGTCCTCGTTACGTCAATTATTATCGAGCGTACGAATTACCGGAAGCGCCGCTGCGAACACCGCTTTCCAGGCTAATTTCCCGTTGGAGTATGGCCCGCGCGTCGAATCTCACCGCGCGGACATCTCTACGCACGAGGACGAATTCGCGCGCTCACACTCACGTGCAGACAGATGGACACGTAGACACATATATATACCGAAACGCGGCCACGGGTGATTTTGAACGTGGATTTCACGCTCCAAAAGTCCCTGGCCTTTCACCTTCGAGAACGGGACGGACGGAAGAGTCTCTATCCCTCTCTCACCCTTCCGCGTCGAGAATACTCGAGAGGGCGAAGTTTAGTTATAAACTTGACTGAGAGGAAGAGGAGAAGGAGGAAACTCCGGTGCCGCGCGCCTCGACTATCCCAGGCTCTCCCGGCATCGAGATTCGTTCGTGCATGTGCCACGTTACGCGAAGTATACGTTCCACGGAGGCAGCGGGAAGATGAGGAGGAGAGAGGGCAGCAGGGCGAAGAGACGAATGGATCTACTATAAATACGCGCGATGTTCCGATCATAAGCTCGCGGTCAAATAGGCGCATAGTTTATACGCGAAATATAAAATTTTATTCCGCTGCAATTTTCAGAAGGAAAGAGAGAGAGAGAGAGAGAGAGAGAGACGCGGACCTCGAGACGAGCGAGGAGTGATTGGACGTGCACGAGTAGAATCACACGCGCTCCCTCCGCCGCAAAAGAAACATTCTATCTGTCGTCCCCTATCACGCAGGGTCGTATACCCTTCGGCTTGTTTATTCTGCTACGCCGACAAGCCTCGGCGTCGCGACTCTGAAAGCCTCTCGCTCGCTCTCTCGCTCTCGCGCGACCGACCGCTCGCTCGCTCGGTTCCGATCGGAAAAAGAAAAAGATACGTATCGCGCGATACGTTCCTTCCGGCCTCGACGCGGGTGCGCAGCACGTGTATCCGTCTCGCGAATTCGCATAGAATCGAAATTGGGACGGAATGAAATTTTCCGCCGACATCGGCGGAAAATAAAGGCGCACACGCGCATTCGTTACTTACGTAGGTACGTGCAGGATCGCGAATTTCGTCGCGTCGTATTTCCGCGGCGTCCTCGGCTCCGGGGGATTCGTGGCGCTTACGGCAAATCGATGATTATTTTATCCGGGCGCGTGCAATGCCCTAAGCCCGACAATGAGTGGAAAGAACCTTAACATTTATCGGGCGAGGACCCATTAATCTTTCTAATCGCTCATATCATGCCTCGATGTGCGTTTATATTATGATATAGTCATACTGTTAATTATCTGACTAATCTATCACTTTGACAGCCTGACACGTCATATCATATCATATTGCACCATATCGTACCATATTTGTATTCAAACACGATAGAAATGGTTAGAAAGACTAGCGGGTTTCGGTTTGATAAATGTTAAAGCTGTTATCGAAGGTTAATGTGCATGATGCGCGCGCAATGTTAATAATAAAAAAGAAAGAATGGGGAGTGCAGATGAATGCACTGCAAATCCAAGTGTGTAATTTCGCACATTTTGCTGCAGTCAGTTTTCACACATTTGTAGTAATTGACGCGTATTACTAATGTAATTTTACATACATAAATGTGTAAAAATTACACGGCAAAAATCTAAATGTGTAATTTTTACGCACTTATCGTGCGTAAAACCATAATAGTGTGATGCATAATATAACACGCGTAAAAATGTGTAAAAAGTGAAACTACATGTGAAATTACACGCTTGGATTTGCGGTGTGAGGTGTGCGATTTGCATCAATACCGCATTCACGGCTGCACTGTGGAAATTCGGTGAAAAAAGGGGGTCGGAAAGAAGAATCGTAATTTTGTATCGGGAGAGGTTACATTGAGAGAGAAAGAGTTACCGCCGTGCACCGTGTTCGCCTATCCGCGCACTCGCGCTATTTATTTGAATACAGCCGCCTCCTAGTGTAATTCCTTTTTTTTTTTTTTTTTACGGTCAAACGCGTCCTCTCAATTTCCTCGGCAAAGAGCGCGACATCCCGCGGTGCTCGTAAGTCGCCGAGCCATAAATGCATCTCGCGCCGTGAAGGACATTTCATTCCGTCCCGTTTCTCGCGCTTTTCAGCTGCAATTTAATTCCGGACGGTAACTTCGTTCGACTGCCTGTACCGTTTAACCCTCCTTAATCGTCTAACCTTAGAACGTTCCGCCGTTCAAGCCGTTGCTATCTAATAGCAGCGAGCTATCCGGCTCGGAAAACGCTTAAATAACAAATTGTATTATCATTAGGATGGCGTGGAGAAGAAAGAGATGCGCGCTCGTGCTCGCGCCTCGAGGAAACGTAATTTCTTCTAAGCCCGAAGACGAAGGAAATAACCGTTCTAGCGGATTTCTTCTACTATCGATCGCTGCAGTTATCGTGATTCGTATTATCGAGCATCTCGATAACACAAGTACCAGACGCGATTAAATCCGTTCGAGATAAGGCGGTCGCGAGCGGAGGCGACGATGACGCGGCGGCAATAAATTGGGCGGATCCCGGCGGAGATCTTGAGAGATTTTCCGCGGCCCCGATAATGCTACGCGAGTATATATTAATGCGTGTGCGACGAGATGTGTATGCACTGGGATTTCGTTTCGCATCGTAAATTCCGCCCGATCCTTTCACAGCGCGCCTCGACTCGCGGCTGAATTAGCGATCTATTTAAAGCCGGAAATTTTGTATGATTCCCACGATTGAAGTTTTAGAAATGTAAATGAATAATAAAAGTAAAGTAATAACGTTTTCAAGTAGTTCGCCGGCGGAAAATTTACTTCAAAAATCTATCTCGAGACTTAATTACCGGGAACTCTTAAAACAGAAATGCAGCGGAAATGCGCGCGGAAAACCGCGCGCGGGGCCCCGGCGAGATCCCTCGTCGCGCGAACTAGGAGAGCCGGAATGAAAAATCCACTCGGAATTACCGCCACGACCGCGGAAAGAAGTTCCGCCACGTACTTCGCACCTGCCGTCTGAAATTCCGATTAGAGGGCCGTGTCGCGCCGCGCACAAAATAACACGTCCGATCGTTATTACGCGAGGCCGACGAGGCGAGTTATCGGAGCTGCAGTTCATAATTTAGCCGGTCGCGATTGCGAGGTTTGAAACATGTACGATAACGTGGGGAGGGGGGGGGGACGGTGACGTCAGCAACAATGAATAATCGGGCGCTAGGAATGAAATTAAAAAGGCCCGTGGCGAAGAGAGTGTATCGGGCTGCCATTTTATCGCGCTGTCGAAAATTACGATCGAGCGAGGGACGCGCGCGGGACTCGTGTATCCCGTATTCCTCCCTCTGGTGTACACGCGTGTGTGCGCATGCAGCTGCTCGAGTTTCGAGGCACTAACTGTGCCGGCCGAAACACGCGATATCGGAGCTTGCACGAGCTGCTTCGAGCTTTGAGCTTCGACTTATACCACACACCGGCCCGGTTGCTCCCAATCTGCTCGAGCAGCACGCGCGCGGGTCGGGGCGGTAGACGATGTCGGGTATCGTGTCGAGTCTCGCCGACTTTGCCCCGCGAAACGCCAAATTACCACCGTCTAAGACGCGAGGGATTTTAATTGGCGACGGATTAAGATTCCCCGACGCGATCTCGCGCGTGATGCTATCGCCGTTGCTCGCGCGCGCGCGCGTTTACATCGGCCGTTGTATTTTACACGACACACCCCGGAGAACTTCGTCCATTGGATGCGCGATATCGGGGGCGAAATGTGTTACGATATATAAATTTAATGTGTTTGGAAATTGTTTCGGCCGCGTGTGCAAGTATGTCGGCTGAAAAGCGGGCAACGTGATCGCGATATTCACGCGGTACGCCAAACGGAGCACGCGACTGCGAGGCGAGTAAGTCCCATCGCTCGAATCTACACTGCAAATCCAAGTGTGTAATTTTATATACTTACGTGTGTAAAAGTATAGTAGTAACACGCGTAGAAATGCGTGAAAAGTGACTACATGATTTTACACATATAAGTGTATGAAATTACACGCTTGAATTCGCAGTTTGTATACATGTTAATAAGGTGATACTGTTTTCCCGTTTTTTCAAAAGGTTCAAATTTGTATATCCCATCGAGCTTTGTTACTCGAGCTTTTACGAGCTTTCGGGGGCTTTATCATTCGTTGCAAACGTTGTACAATACGTTAATGTTATTTTGATATCAACTCATTCGTCTCCCCTGAGTGTTTTTCACCGTTCAGCGTTTCGTTCAATACGTAGAGACATATGTTTATCTACTTATCTCTGGAAATTTAATTGCGAAAAATTAGCACGTTGTCCGCCATGGAATTTAATGTACCATCTGCGGCAAGCAATTATGCCGCCAGCATAATTCAGCAGAATTCGGCGGTGGGAACGGCGGATGAGCCGTTTCAAAATTGGATAGGCAAATTACTTAATTTACTGACGGCAGCAAACTGAGTTATTATGCGTATGCAATTTTAGAGTCATTCGCCACGACGGCATCGGCTCTCTCCTACGGACTGACTTTCCCGATAATCACAGCCGACGGTCGTCGGGGACGTCGGGGCGTGGAAGGCGGAAGCATGAATTACGTAGTCCGGATTACGTCGAGCGAGCTATCAGCACGAGGACAACGGCGACGAAGACGGTGACGGTGGCAGAGGAGAAGGAGGATCGAAAGAAATGCGAGCTGGAACGGGCGTGAAGAAGAAGAAGAAGAAGAGGGAGTCAAGTCGCCGGTGGTCCATTGTGGCAATTTATGCGATAGAATTTACATTGTAGAACGCTTATTCGGCCCGAATTTTTTCGTCAATAAAGAAACACGTCTGGCATCGCCGAATCGAGGTCGGCTCGAGTATTTCCGCCAAAGGATGAAATATATCCGGATTTATCACCGATTCTATCGCCATAATTTCATATACGAGAAACGTGCACGCAAACACGTGCGCGTCGAATTCGCATGGTCGGACGGGCTCTGCTGCTCCCTTTCGATTAGGTAAGCGTTTCTGTGTAAACTCAAACACCACGGGTGCACGAACTTTATGCGCGTTTTACTTGGCCTCTGATACCAACGTGTTACCATACTACAGGGTGTTTCAACAATTAAATACCAACACCAAGCGCGGCATCGCTCGTGCCGGCCAGCCAGGGGAGAGCCACTGGAAGCCCCACCAACTCGTAATTGACACTCCGGCCGTTTATACCGCCGCGTATACGCGTCATGAAGAATGATGACGCCGAACTGTTTCGCAGTCGTAATGTTGATGACGTTGTCGTTGGTGTTCCGGTCACGGCAGCTGTGAATTTTGGCGAGCGCGTACGCATACACAGCGTACGTAACACGCGCGGGGACGCGACGCGGCAACCTTTTTTTTCGGCGACTCTCACCGCGCGCATATCGCGGATATCCTCGGCGGAACTGTGTCGGCGCGCATTAATTAATATCGGAATTAGTTTTCTTCGCGCGGCGGTGAATTTCGCGAGCGGGCGAGAGAGCTCGCGAGCGTTAATTATGCGAGAATGGAAGACAGCTCTGGTTTTATGAGAAAGGCGGATCTATTGTAATATAGTGCGGAAACCGGCTGCTGAGCTGGCGGGGTAAAACTTGCGGAACTTCCATCGCCAAACTTCGCCCCCCTCCTTCTCCCCTTCCCCCCTCCGCTCCGCAGTAGAAGATTCGTGCGCAAATTCGCGAGTAACGGTATTATTAGATAAACAGTGTGTAATTGTTTGGAGTAATGCGTTTTAACGTAATTGATACAATTTATATCGTGCCACTTGTAGTTAATGGCTTTTCTACTGCGGCAGAACAAATAGGATCACACGCTTTAAATAACATTGTGAATTCCCCGGATAAATAATTGAAAAAAAAAAAGCCACGGTGTGGGTTTTACTAAAAGAAACGAATTATTCTATATTGATATTTACCGGCGTCGAATCCGTTGTCACGTAACGGATAATAGCGAGCGAGGGGAGCAGGGGAAAGACAGATAAAGAGAGAGTGAATGATGAAGGAGAGGGGAGAGGGGAGAAGAAGGAGAAAAGAATATTTTTTACAAAATATCGAGCGAGGCGTCGATACGTAAGTGTCGGCTGCATTCCTAACTCCCGTCGTGTCATCGAACTCGACGCAACCGTGAGCTCACGCAGAACCGCTCTTCTTCGACGACTATCATCGGTGAATCGGAACGGCTTGAGAAACGCGGCCGGTTCTGGACGCGAAACAACGTATAATTCCCGAAGGAACTTGCATTTTACTTGTATATCGATAACTCGGCGGGACCATCGGAAGCTCTTCGTGCTCTTTGAACTTTTAATGAATAGATCTCATAAAAATTTTATGGCGGAAGTTTTCGCGCGAATTTTTCACCCTCGACTGGGACGGACGAGAGAGAGAGAGAGAATGGACGAGAGAGTTTCTGTTCGAAATGATTTGAATAAGATTTCAAGAAATATTCCATCTCGCGCGCGGCGGAACTTCCCCGCGCGCGCGCGTCAGCGGTAGTAGTCGCGAATGCACTGTCAGCACGATGGACGGCGATATGCCACGTTGATTTTGGCTCTCCTGACAAAACCATAGCCCGTCGTTTCCGGCGCGCGTAACATTCACGAAACCCGCCGACGTGACGCGCCGACAATAGACACTCGCGCGTTCTTATCGCGGAATCAAATTGATAGAAGCGCCGCGATCGCGGCGATAAATCGAGCCGTACTATACGTCCATTTCCCGGCGCTGAATCTAATTAGGACCGCTTCCATGGTGCTCAACAGCCGCGAAAATTGCAAGATGCAGCTGTGCGCATATTCACAAAAAGATTTCACGGCGAAACGAACCGATTGTGACCGGCCGATTACCTCTTTCTCCTTTATACTTGTCTGCAGCGCCCGAAGATTTTCCGATACAGGACAGCCGTGAGAAAAGGAGAGTCCTCGCTGAGAAGTCTCTCCGGACGACGAGTTCTCGCGCGAGAACGGTTTGACTAATGCAACGAGCAAGGTTGATATCGTCGGATAATAATGACCATCTCATTCTAGACGCGGAACAACGCACGTCCGCCCCGAGTAAGGGTGGACGCCCGACGTCCGGTACGCAATCGAGAAAAGCGGGGTGCAGCAGGCTTCTCGCGAAGGGTCTCTGTTAACGAATACAGATCGATAAGTTACCATACGCACACACATACACACACATAGACACGTGGCTACACGCGCAGACTTTTTTCCGTCCTTCTCTGTAACTCGCGCGGGGCATCTCTCCCTCGTAGGAGACCTACCTATTTTCACTTCTACCCGCTCTTCCATCCATCTCTCCGCCACGCATACCATTCCACAATGACGTTCCTCCTCCCCCCCTCTATCTCCCCTTTTGCTCGCCCCCCGTAGCCTTCGTGCATTAGCCGGTCGATGGTGCATTCAGTCGTCGATGTCTGCGTGCGTACGCGCGCGCTCGTGTATATTGAGTGTACGCAACGGTGACTCATAGACCGAGAATCCACTTTGTTCTATTGGTTCCCCCGCACACGTTCGCTCCGTCCCCCCATATTCCCGCAGACTCTCGCAGTATCGCGGGGTGTGCGATATAAAAGGAGCTCTCACACCGAATTCGGTGCGTCCCGGACGTGCGTCACGGCTAACGACGGATTCGGAGGCCCCGGTGTCTCTGCCCCTCGTCCGTCTCGTTCGGATTTCGGATAATAATTACTTTAGGGGCAAAGGACGCGCAAACGAGCGTCGCTCGGGGCAAACTTTCGTCAAGTTAATTTCCTTTCTCCGTGTCATAAGTACGATTCTTATCTAAAAAGGACGGCGACTTCGTAAGGCGGACTTGTTTAATTCAGATTGTTGCAACGACCGGCTCTCTTTTTCCTCCCTCTCTCTCTCTCTCTCTCTCTCTCTTTCTTCCTCTCTCTTTCAAAGCGAAGACTACCGCTTGCTTCCGAGTAGTTTGAGCGTGACGATCCTAGGAACACGGATAATGACACTTCGCTATTATTCCGCTACGCACAAGCGACTGAGTCCTAGAAGAAAATAATCGATCGCATTCGCCGACGAGGGGGAACGAGAGGGTGGGTCGTATCGGCGAGCACGTCAACGAGAAACATTACGTTCGCGTTGGTTCGTCAAAAGAGCACACACCTTGTCGGAGCACGAGTCTCTCGCACGGAGCGCCACCCTCGCTGGGGGCAGTTGACCCCTCCGCGATTACACCCTTGACGAACGCATTTTCCACGCGTCACGAATTTTCCCGCCAGATGTCCCGAATCCGTGCCGCGGCGGGTGCTCGTCTAATTTTCCTCGTCGTTGGCGTCGGAACGCGCGCGAGCGAGTGGACAGGGAAGCTCGAAATCTAACTAGAATGCGCGTAGCATCGTCGCAACAATTTCCACTCTTAAATTGACCCCCTTTTACCGTAACGGGATTTGCAAAAGAACAAGATTCGACGGAGAAGTCGCCGGATGACTCGATTTAAGTCAACAACGGATGAAGATGGATTTAATATTTCATGAAGAATACACTTCGGGCTTCCCTTTTGTCGATCCCCTCAGCACCGGAACCCGCCGGCGAGAGGGATATAAATGGAACGGCCGGGAAATGGGAGAAGCATGCTCCGTGATTTTTTAAAGTGGCGTCGCGAGGCCGCAATGATAGAAATCCATTTCGATGCAAACGCGCTCCCGAAGTTTCGCGACAAATGTTTTTGTCCCTTTGAATTTCAAATTGACGGACCGGCGATGGACTTGAGAGTTCGCGAGTTTCGCCACGGACATCTCCCGACGTGTCGCACGATATTATCGGGATAATAAAACTTGCCGCGGTTTGGAAATGGAACGAGAAAGTTAGATTGGGAGAAGGGGCATTCTCCTTTTGCGCTTTTCGCTACCATGAGAGAATTATCATAAAAGAAATTACAAATTCTTTTTTTCAATAGCCCACGTCGACAATTTTGCATATATTTTGCGAATATTTTTGCGCCCGCGCGCGGCCGTAATTTCGAGAGCTTCGGAAAATGGAAAATCTGACTTGCAAATGGACATATTACCTGACACCGAGTGATTCCGGCGCGTATGTCTGACGGTACAAAAAGCAAGTTATTAATGCATCCGCGATATAGTTAAGAAACCCAGTACCGTGTTGCAACATGGAATTTTCTTCTCTCTCTCTCTCTCTCTCCTCCTCCTCCTCCACCTCCGTCTCTTCTTCTCCCTCTTCCTCGACATAATCGCACTCACAACCTTGGGAATATCTCTACAGCTATGCTATGAGATGACGCAGCGCTCCGAGAATTTCCGTTCCGACGTCACGCTACTTTCTTTTTCCTCGATGTTGCAGTAATAAAGACGGAACGATCAAATAACGATCGGATCGATAAGAATTTCGTGCTTGTCGGAAAGGGGAGAGAGAAAGGGAGAGGGAAAGAAAGAGAGGAAGGAATGAAAAAAGAGAACGAAGAGGGGGGGAGAAAAAAGGAGGAAAGAAATTAAGCTCAATTAACGACTCCGTTGGAAACTTTCTTTTCGTCGAGAAAAATGGCATACCAACGTTAGAAACTGCGCGTTTCGCCACGGCGTTACGACGTCCAAGTGGTACCGTACCACCTCAGTCGCTTCAACAACATCAATATCCTCGAGCAAGGATGAGCGATTTCGTTCCGTGACTCGAACTCCGCAAGGACGCGAACAATTTATATCCGTATGCACGACGACCCCTCGGCCGCCGCCTCGCGCGAGCACAAGACGTCCGGTTGCCTTCTCGTTGTCGGTTATCTCGCGCTTGTGATTCGCAGGGCCGCGAGTTAGCGGCGACCGTGTGCGAGTCGACTCCGCCGCGGTGATGCAGGCACGCACCGAGAGGAAAACCGAGGTTGCTCTCCTCGCGTGTATACGCGCGGAGAACGGCCTTC